TATTACCATTAATCGGCAAGCCCAACTCGAACTAACAATGTGGTATCAACATTTGAGTGAATGGAACGGAACTTTTTTCTTTCTTGATCCTAATATTTTCACCAATACTGATATGGCTTTCTCTACGGATGCTAGTACAACTATCGGATGTGGTGCTGTTTTCGGGAATGAGTGGTTTGCTCATCGGTGGTCTGAGCAAATGCTTAATCTTCCAGAAAATGAAAAATCAACAGCATTCTTCGAGATTATTCCTATCGTTATTGCCGTAGTTTTATGGGGCTCTCAATGGAAGAGGAAGCGAATTTGTCTTTTATGTGATAACCAGGCTACAGTTAACATAATTAATAAAGGTCGATCAAAAAGCTCTTTTATTATGGCGTTTACGCGTAGATTAACTTTACTTGCCATGCAACATCAATTTTTATTACGAGCCGTTTATATTTCTACATATGAAAATAATTTAGCCGATGCTCTCTCTCGTTTTCAGGTAAATCGCTTTCGTCAACTATTACCAACCGCCGATCGATACCCGAAAAACGTTCCTTCAATGAAAGACTTAACCTTTCCATCGATCGAATCGATAGTATTGTAACTGATTTATTTAATAATACTATTTCTTCAACTTCGAAAAACTCGTATTCTTCTGGTTATCAACTTTTTACTCGTTTTGCAGTTATGTCCGGTTTTAACATGCATTCTTATCATTTACCCCATAATCTTATTTTACGTTTCATCGCATTTTGTCATGGTATTCGTAACATTCGATATTCTACAATTCGCTCTTACTTAGCTGCTATTCGTTTTTATCGTTTACGTGCTGGCTTTTCTGATCCATTTTTAGATATGCACGGTTATAAAATACCACAAATTGAAATGGTTCTTAAAGGCGCACGACGTTTAGATTCCTTAACCATCAAACAATGTAAACCTATTACCATCGATATTCTAAACAAATTAATTGGTGTATTACGATGCGGTATATTTACCCTAGTGAAAGTACTCATCAAGCGAGTACGACTTTCCAGCGTGAGTACTCATATTACTCGTGCGAGTACTCGAAAAATTTAATGTGTATGCATACTCGTCATGTACTCCGATGAGTACTCGTACAAATTTTTCTTTGGAGATTTACTCATAGACAAATATACGAGTACTCAATGTAGTACTTATTCTTGTTTTTTCGCAGAATATTTAACAAAACACTTATGCACTAGCATACACAAAAATGAATTGGAATTATATAATAAAAGAAAATGATGCAATAAAATGAAAAATAGAAAAAAACTGTTTTAATGAATTATTTATTTTATCTTCTATCACTTTCTAGTGAGTCATTTACACGACTAAAATAAATAGTGACTTGACGATGGAAAAGAAAAACGATTTTTCTTATTCATTTGTTAACATTTCCAGTAAGATTAAATTTTTTTAAAAATATTAATGCAGACTCGCTTTAATATTATTTCCTAAATTTAGATAAAAAATCTTTCTTTAAAATATAATTTTTCAGATTGACCATAAAATGCTATAAAACGAATTATAGCTAACGACTTTTGGTACAAATCGATCGCAACTTTAAAATACGAAGATGAGTGAATAAACTATAGACAAATAGTTTTATTTTATTGTTTTTTTTTTGTAAATTCTCAGATGAATATAGATAGTTAGGGATTTAAAAATGTCTCTGTTAATTTTTTTGTGCAATAAGCAATACTGTACGTTTATTTAGTATCATATTTCTCATTATCACTGATTCAATTATTATTTTTTATTCTTCACTATATTTTACTATCCTTAATTCGTGTTTTATTGTACTCTCACTCTAAGATATAGATAATAAATCTTCACTATTTAAAAAAATAGTTAACTATTTTCTTTATTTTTATATAATGAAAATATGATTTTATTTTTTGAAGAAAATAGAAAAGAAGAAAATAAAATCGTATTTTTATTGTAGAAAAATAAAAAAATATTTAATTTTCTTCGCTGATGATGAAGATTTCCATGTCTGTATTCTTTGTGTTAAAATATACGAAACTGAGGTCAAACTTGTAGTTCTCATTTTGATCGTTTTACTCGAACTTTCATTGTGTGTGTCTGTATTTTATTAATATTTCAATATTAAATAAAAATTGATGTAGTACAATGGTACTAACCAAAAAGTATGCTTCTGAGTATTTTACATAAACCAGCAGAGTACACAGAAACTAGATAAGAGTACTCATAAAACACTGAATATTACACTGCGAGTACTCGATCGTCGTACTCAAATACTCAGATTCTAGCACGAGTACGACTGACGAGTACTCAAAACTCGTGAGTACTCATGAGTACTCGTGACATTTTCTAGCGTGAGTACTTTTTGAGTACTCGCCTATGAGTACCTTCACTAGGGTAATCCATATCTCGATACATTAATGCAAGCAGCACTTACTACTGCATTTTGGGGTTTCTTCAGATCCGGTGAATTATTTCCTGATAAATTTTCTCCACGCTTACATGTTACAAAAGCTGATGTTCAATATGATATAAACTGCATTATTATTCATTTAAAATCATCAAAAACTGATATAGAACGGAGAGGAGCGAATATTCGTTTGTTTAAAAACGGATCTATTAATTGTGCAGTTCATGCTTTAAATTGTTTTACTCTTCTTCGCAACAGCAATAATCATGATTCTCCTTTCTTTCTTTTACCCAACGGTCAAGCATTTACTCGTCGTGCTTTTATCTTCAATTTAAGACATTTATTGCTTCAATTAGGTTATGAAGCTTCTGCTTATAGTAGACATAGTCTACGGGTAGGAGCAGCTACATCTGCAGCGGCGGCTGGTATTCCTGATCATTTAATACAAACTCTAGGTCGTTGGTCTTCGTTGTCTTATTTACGTTACATCCGTGTCAGTGATACTGTTATTCTTCAAGCTCATAATAAAATATTGCAGTTTTCTTCTTAGTTATTTCTTTATTTAGTCTGGTTATTGCTTTTTGTACATATTTTCCTTTGTTTTGGGCGCGAAGCTCTCATCTTGTGATAGAGCTTCTTGTGGCGTTTCAAGTGCCCAAAAATGACTATAAAAGAATATCTTTAACTTTATTTTTATTGTATTTAATTGTTTTGTTTTTTGTCACTTTGTTCTTTGGCAGTAAATACATATATGCCCAACTCGCCACTATATAAATAACAGTCTTCTCATAGAGAGATCGACATGAATAACTCTTTAATGGCGAGATAACGAGGCATTAAAGAAGATTCATGTAGGCTCGGCTATTTTTGTTTTAATTATCTGTTCTATTATTCAATATATAGCGCTCGTTTCAGCTGGAAGTTCATTATCATGTGTAGCTAAGTTGTTATTCATTATCATCTTCTTGTGCTCTAATTCAGTGAAAAGCTATTCATATAATCCTGTTTAATTTGTTAAAACTTCAACATTTATTCAAGCTAACTTTTCAATACCCGCCCACCCATTTCCCATTATAAATATTATATAGCTGATCCTAAATAGTTTATCCCGGATAAAGGCGAATTTAACATACTAAGTGCAAACTAGTCGTGTCAAGTGACACCAGAGCCGAAAAGGCAAAACAGTCGTGTCAAGTGACACCAGAGCCGAAAAGGCAAAATAGTCGTGTCAAGTGACACCAAAGCCGAAAAGGCAAAACAGTCGTGTCAAGCGACATCAGAGCCGAAAAGGCAAAACAGTCGTGTCAAGTGACACCAGAGCCGAGAAGGCAAACCAGTTGTGTCAAGTGACACCAAAGCCGAAAAGGCAAACCAGTCGTGTCAAGTGACACGAAAGCCGAAAAGGCTAAACAGTCGTGTCAAGTGACACCAGAGCCGAGAAGGCAAACCAGTTGTGTCAAGTGACACCAAAGCCGAAAAGGCAAATTCCTCGTGTTGGATGTCTTGGCATTCAACATGTAGAGTGGGTTATGCTGTACTTGTGACCCAACGGCCTGGAGCCATGGCACATCCAGCTAGTCTATCTCTTTACGTTTACATTCAAGCTGAAGTACGTGACCCAATCGGCAATTCGCCACGGCACGTCCAGCAGAACTTTTTTATTTTAGGCTGGACGCTGCTGTGACTCTTCATTTATACACTGTTAGCACTGCTGGTGAACATTTTCTTTATTATTCCACCATCGTACCAATTTATTCTCTTAACTTACAACTGCGCGTTTCAAGTGCCCAAAAATGACTATAAAAGAATATCTTTAACTTTATTTTTATTGTATTTAATTGTTTTGTTTTTTGTCACTTTGTTCTTTGGCAGTAAATACATATATGCCCAACTCGCCACTATATAAATAACAGTCTTCTCATAGAGAGATCGACATGAATCAACTATTATGTAAAAAGTTTTGTTCTTAGGTCTATATTTATTAAAGTTTGCTATCCCATTAATTAATTGAAAGTTACTCTAATTAAACTAATAAAAGCAATTGTGAATATTGATATTAATATTGTATATAGATTTGAGAATCATTTTTATTTCATCAACTACCATTTTTCCTTTCTTTTTTTTAGTTTATATATAAAATATTACAATTGAATAAATAAATTTTATTTACAACAAAGGAAAATAATTCCAAAAGTTTTCTGGATATGTCTTTGGTTTTGAATCAAAGAAAATGTATTTCACTTTTGAACAATTCGCACGAGCAGCATCAGTTGTAAAATACTGTGTTGCAAACAACAAAAGTTCATAATCAACATATAACGTGTGTAAAAGTCGAAAAGAAATTGTTCAACATAATCAAGAGAAGATCCACAGAGATTAAGTACTGTAAGATGAGGAAATTCAATAACTGATGATATTTGTTCATATTCA